TGGCATTGCCTCTCATCAGAAGACATAACACTGAACAATAGAGACTCCTGGAGCTTTGCAGCCAGGCTGGATTTGCTTCCTGGCTCCCTCCTCCCTAGCAGGGAGACCTTGGGCCAGTCTCTTAATCTTTCTGAGCCTCAGTTTCCTCATCGGTGAAATGGGAATCACAAGAGCACATACCCCAGGCTGTTACCCTCATGATTCAGGGCAATGATGAGAGCCTGGCACCAAATGCTACTCATCCTGGTAATGACTGGCTAGTTCGGCCTGGGCTCTGCTGCGTAACCAGGCATAATCGTGGTCGGAGGAGAGAAGCAGATCGCAGGCATCACTGACAAGCACAAGGAGACAGAGTTGGTTTCCTTTTCTAGGATAATCACAGCCCACTCCCCATCATCACACCCACGGACCCCATTGACAGAGAAGTTGGATTCTTCCCGACCAGGGCTCCCTATGACCCCCGGTGGCTGCTTGCAGGAAGGCCTCACCCCAGTAAGTTCTAAAGTGCTTTGCCTGAGACCTGGCTCTTGGGTTTCTTTCCTGCACCTGGGACAAAGGAACACTCAGAGAGAAGCAGGGATCCTGGGCCACGTGTCCCAGAGGGGTGCGCCTGACATCCCATGTGCAGGGAGCAGAGGGAGCGGGGTTTTTTCCTCTGTGCTTCTCCTGAGCTATTAACCAAGAAGAGGTGGAAACAGCCTCTGGTTTCTGGGGCTGGTAGATGGAGGGGGAGTGCGACACAGCGCATGGCCTCCCTCCCCCAAACCGCCCCATGGTTACAGAGTGGACAGTACAGACATCAGAGTGTCCAAGAGAAGACTACTCCCCCTTCTCCCTCTTTCTTTCTGGCTCTCTGTTTGGCTCTCCTTACTAAGGTAGCCCTCCAGGGGTTCACCCGGGACGGACGACCTAGCCTCTTCATACACGTAGAGATGGGCACACTCCCGCTTGCACACACACATTCTCTCTGTCCCTCCCTCTCTCTGAAAGGGGCCAGTGTGTCTCCGGGAGGCGTATGGTTACATTCTGAGCAGCCAGGACGGAACAGGAAAGCTGAGCTGCCCCCGTTCCCATAATCCCCGGTCTGTAATTTCGGATGCTGCCACTGTCAAAACCGGCCTGGCCGTCCAGCCGGCTGCGTGGCTCAGGAGGCCCCTCAGCCTGCTCGCCCGTCTTGTGTTTCCCTTGGGCTTTCTTGCCTGTGAGCACCGAGCGGGGCGGCTTTAACCTGATTCTAAAATATCCAACTTGTTTCTGACCATTTTCTCCATCAAGTCAGGCCAGCCCCCAGGCAGACACTGGAGTCGGGCTGTTGGGGTTCAGGCACCCAGCTTCCCTCCCCGGCAGCTCGGGACCCTCCTGTCACCTGGCTCCTTTCTCCTTGCCCGAACCCTGTGATGGACACGCCACTGCTTCCTGTCCGGGGATGGCTGCAGCTGACATCATCCTGTCCTCCCTCCTCCCCTCCTTTTCTCTGTCTCCATCTGTCTCTTTTGGAAGGAGACAGCGCCCCCCTGCCCCCCAGTTAAATGTTGTAAGGCTGCAGCTGGCATGTTGAGGATGAGGTTTTCAGGGCAGGTAGTCCCTTCCCCAAATCCCACCTTTTGAAGGTGTCCTGTCAACTGTCTTTGCTTCTTGGGCTCATCCCTGGGATTAGGATCTCCGTGTGTTTGACATTGACAGGAGCTGATGTAGTTAGATGTTCCAAGTGGGCTGAATTCCTGACTTAGCCTATTTCCTGCAGCCCTGTTTTTGGGGGATTTTTTTGTTGTTGTTTTGTTTTGTTTTTTAATGGGGTTGGGATCTGTATGGTTTTCTGGAGAAACAGGTGTTTGGGCGTCAAGGCCAGGTTGTCTGTCCCACCATGCAGACCCAGAGACCCTCATCAACCCAACCCCTTAGCCTGGGCTTATGTGCTCCTGTCCACAGGTCTGAAGGGATCCTGGCAGAGTGGATTCTTTGACCATGGCAGTTTCAAGGAAATCATGGCGCCTTGGGCCCAGACCGTGGTGACAGGACGAGCAAGGTAACGTTGAGGACGGGGCAGGCTGCGCTCACCTGGCCTCCCCGGGTATCGGGATTCCCGGGCACTAGGCCAGGGGTCCTTTCCTCTCGAGTGACCCCCCAAGAGCACTTTCCTTCTGGCCTTGGGATTTTCTGAAAGAACAACCAATCTGGGGGATCGTTTTCTGGATGATGAACTTCTTCATAAAGTCTGGATTTTCCATGGCCTTAGTAGGCATCTCAGCCAGCTTGTTGCTGAGGGCCAGCACCCTGGCCCCTAGTGTCTGCCCCTGGGGCAGGGATCCCTAGCCACGGGGGCCATGGGTCCCTTTAGGAATCAGAAGGGCTCCGGATGCTCCCACCAGAAAATTGCACAGATGCTGCAAACTATGAATTCCATTTCAGGAGGGCCATGGTCAGAAACCCCCTTGTCTACACAGCTGGTGGATGGCTTAAATGCTTGAATGTTCCCAGAACTGAGCAGCTCATTCCTCAGTGGTGTAGTCCTCAACTTTCCAGACACGTCCCGCTCCCTGCAAGATCCTTCCTATGTGGAGCCCAAAGCAGTGTCCTTATAATTTACCATTCAGATTCCCGGCACAATGTAGTTGCTACGGGTTCGGCTCTGGAGTCAGATCTGAGGTCAAGCCCAGCTGTATCACTCACCCTCTCTGGGCCTCCACATGCTCATCTGCAAGATGGGGATGATAATCCTACCCCCAGAGGACTGTTGTGATGATGTATGTTAAACACTTACAATATCATAAACGCAGGCGCCTGGGTGACTCGGTCGGTGAAGCATCCAGCTCTCGATCTCCACTCAGGTCTTGATCTCAGGGTCGCACGTTCAAGCCCCATATTGGGCTCCATGCCAGGCGTGGAACCTACTTAAAAAAAAAAATCATAAATGCTCCGTAAGTGGTAGCACCTGCTAGTACTCTCTGTTGTTGCTATTATTTCTTTCCTGGGCAATAAGTAAGTATTAAAATACTAAATACTAAGCCTCATATTAATGGCTGGTTCACTTTTCCATAAATGTTTTATTTTAAAAACATTTTTTTTAAAACCTGAAATGAGATCGGCTCCCCCTTCCACACGGAAGCCCTTCCTTTCTTTAAAAGATTTTTATTATTATTTTTTTTATTTATTTGAGACAGAGAGAATGAGAGAGAGAGAGCACATGAGAGGGGGGAGGGTCAGAGGGAGAAGCAGGTTCCTTGCTGAGTAGGGAGCCCAATGCGGGACTCGATCCAGGGACTCCAGGATCATGACCTGAGCCGAAGGCAGTCGCTTAACCAACTGAGCCACCCAGGCGCCCCGCCCTTCCTTTCTTTAAAGACTTTCCCTCCACCTGCCTCGTAGGGTCATTGAGAGCGTAAACAAGAGTAACCCAGGCTCGCGCCCAGCACAGGGCCGGCCCCATAGCAAGGTAACAAGCAGTGACAATCACTGTTGTCATAGAATCCCCCTGAGCAGAGGCTCCTTCAGGCTCAGCATCCCTCAACCCTTTCCAAACGTGCCTCGGTGCCTAGACGCGCCCCGTCCCCATGTGGGAGCTGCTGGCCACGTGTGACCGTTCAAACCTCAACGAGTTGAAAGAGGTCCCGTTCCTCCGCTGCACTTGCCACGTTTCCAGTGCTCAGCATCCACAGGAAGTGGCTCATCACAGCTGCTCTTCTGGATGGCACAAGACAGCGCGCAGCATCGCGGGAAGTTCTAGTGGACGGCGCTGCTCCCGTCCCTGCACTGGCCCCACTGTCCCCATCACCACGACAGCTGGTGCCCCAAGAGGGGCACCGATAGCACCTTTCCAGCCCGCCCGCTTGTGAGGAGGCTCTTACTGCTTGGAGTCTTCCAAATGAATGCCCTTTAAAAACCATGCTGTCTTCTGTGTGCCCCCCTCCCCGCCATGAGTGCCCGTGTACCCAGGAGGCCCACAGAATGTCAGCCGGGGCTGGGAGGACCCATCTACCGCTGAATCCACAGCGGGGAGGCGGGTGTCGCCTGGCTGACGCAGCCTGGCTGACCCGTGCCCGCCTCGCAGGCTAGGGGGGATCCCTGTTGGAGTGATTGCCGTGGAGACGCGGACTGTGGAGGTGGTGGTGCCTGCGGACCCTGCCAACCTGGATTCAGAGGCCAAGGTGAGGGGGTTGGGAATTTGGGACTGCTCTTTCAGCTGGCTTAGCCACCAAGAGTGAGTCCTGGGTGGTCGCATGCTAGGGTCTGGGGCCAGTCCTTGGCCATGGGGGCGCATTTCTCCAGCACGGTTTCTGTGGGAGGCAAAAATGGTCCCACACGGTTTTTCTTCTTCTTCAGAGGGTGACAAGTCCCTGGGAATCCTTCCTGCCTTCCGCCTCCATCCCTGTCACTCTTTCTAGGGTGGGCCATGGCACATACTGGGAGGAGCTCAGAAGGCAGAGGGTGGGTCCTAGGACTCGGTGCGGCCGGGACTAGCTTGGCACTTGGCACCCCTTTGAGCCTGAAAATGAGGCCGAAGGGACCTGCAGCCTGTGGAGGCAAGCAGGGCCCCTAGCAGACGAGCTTTGGGCCCTCCCTGTGAGCCCATGGCTCTGGTGTAGGTGCCAACACAGATCAGATTGCTTGCCCTCTAGGGTGTGGCTCAGATGGCTGTCCCCATGTCCTCTTGCCGCTCTTGCACAGAGGAGTCTGATCCAGGCCACTCTGTGTTTCAGATAATCCAGCAGGCGGGCCAGGTGTGGCTCCCAGACTCGGCCTACAAGACGGCCCAGGCCATCAACGATTTCAACCGAGAGAAGTTGCCCCTGATGATCTTTGCCAACTGGAGGGGGTTCTCCGGTGGCATGAAAGGTAAGGCTGCCTCTCCTCTGGGTGTCCTAAAGCTACGGGGTCAGCACCCTGGGCAGGGAAGCCCAGGTTCTACTCTGGATGGCTCCGTCATCCTCTTAGCTGAGACCCCCATGGCCCTGAGGACGGGAGCAGTTGAGGTCACATCTTCCCATTTTACAGATGAGGAACTGAGGGTTCCCGGTGTGACTTTCCAGAGGTCACACTGTGAGGGGCAGGGCCAGGAGGGCAGCCCTGGGAACTTCCCTCCTGTGAAGGGGCTAAGAATAAGACCAACCCAAGAGGTGCAAGGTGAGGATTTGATGAGCTGATCGCTGGTACATGGTGTTAGCTCTTGGTGTGATGATGCCCGATTTTATTGTTGCACTGTAACCATGTAAGGTGCCTGGTACTTGGAGGGCCCTGTCTTGGTGGAAAATAAGGGCCATACTGTGTGTGGGCAGGAGGCAAGGACCTGTGTTATTGCTGGGTAGGGTGTCTGTGTGCTGGAACCAGCAGGACAAGGCCGGGGGGGTCAGTCACCAGCAAGGGCATCCCAGAGTCAGAACTGGAAGGAATCCTTGGGATGGCCCTACACCTCCTTTTACAGATGGGGACACTGAGGCCCAGGCAGGGAGAGTGACATGTCCAAGTCACATGGACAGTCAGGGTGCCGTCTGTACCTGGGCTCACTCCTGACTCCTAGCCCAGAGCTCTTTCCATGGTGCCACCAAGCACCCCGGCTGAACACTTCCTCAGGATCCCCAGGACGATGAGGGCTGCGGGCTTGGCATGCGGACAGGTGCTGGGGCCTGCGGCCTCCTCAGCAGGTGACTGCTTTGTTTTGCAGACATGTACGACCAGATGCTAAAGTTTGGAGCCTACATCGTGGACAGCCTCAGGCAGTACAAACAGCCCATCCTGACCTACATCCCACCCTACGCGGAGCTCCGGGGGGGCTCCTGGGTGGTCATGGACTCCTCCATCAACCCCCTGTGCATAGAACTGTACGCAGACAAGGAGAGCAGGTGGGTGTGTCACCCTCAGCCTGCCTGAGCCTTGGCTTGTTCTCCACCCCAGACCTGAGAGCCCGTTGTCATCTTTAAGCCGCTGGCCAGGGATTGCCAGGGCATTGAAGTTCTTTTGTTTTCTTTTTTTTTAAGATTTTTATTTATTTGAGAGAGAGAGAAAGAGCACGAGCGGGGGTGAGGGGCAGAGGGAGAGGGAGACGCAGACTCCCCGCAGAGCAGGGAGCCTAACACGGGGCTCGACCCCAGGACCCTGGGATCATGGCCTGAGCCGAAGGCAGACTCTTCACCGACTGAGCCACCCAGGCGCCTGGCACTCTGAGTTTCTGAAGGATGGAGAGCCTCCAGTTTTACCAATCTGAAACTAGCATCCAGTGCACAAGTAGATTTTCTCAGGAAAGGGGGCGCCGGAGTGGCTTAGTCGGTGAAGCGTCTGCCTTCAGCTCAGGTCGTGATACCAGAGTCCTGCGGATCGAGTCCCGCATCGGGCTCCCTGCTCCGCGGGGAGCCTGTTTCTCCCTCTGCCCCTTTGCCCACTTCTGTTCTCTCTCTCAAATAAATAAATAAAATCTTAAAACAAACAAACAAACGATTTTTCTCAGTAGAGTTAGTGGCTGGAGCCGGAGACGGCAGAAGAACTGTTGTTTGTTCTTTCATGACTTATATTCACCTGCTTCCCAAGGAAGTTTGCAATCAAAAAATCAGGAAAGATGGAAAGCACTTGAGGTTCCTGGCAGCCAGGATGAAAAGGGAAATAAAACCCGTCATCTGCTTCCCCCTGGACTCTGATTCTCTCCCAAAGCTACGAGTTCCTGTAGGGGCCGTGCTTTATTCAGTTTTATAACCCAGGGCCTGGCACCATGCCTGATTGCTAGGGGGTGGTTGGAAAATAGTGGTTGGGGGTGCCTGGGTGGCTCAGTCGTTAAGCATCTGCCTTCAGCTCCGGTCATGATCCCAGGGTCCTGGGATCGAGCCCCACATCGGGCTCCCTGCTCCGCAGGAAACCTGCTTCTCCCTCTCCCACTCCCCCTGCTTGTGTTCCCTCTCTCGCTGTGTCTCTCTCTGTTAAATAAATAAACACAATCTTAAAGAAAAAAAAAAGAAAATAGTGGCTGAACCGATGACAGAATTGATATTTGCATGAAAGGATACCAGTTCTTCAGGGGAAAGAAAACCTTGGTGCTTTTTTGAGGAGGAATTCATCCCAGGAATGTTTACAGAAAGAATAATGACAGTAAAACTTGCCACACAGTGTTTGAATGACTTTCAAGTGAAGACTCTGCTCTATGGTGTATAGGATGTAAAGACCTCAGGAGTAGTTCTGTCCAAGAGAGAGGCTTCCTCTGCTCCTGTAATTCATTCATTCATTCATTCGTTCATTCATTCATTCAGTGAAGATTTATTGAGCACCTACTATGTGCCAGGCATTATGATAAAACATTGTGATGTGCAAATGAGCCAAACGTGTCCTGCCTTCAGTGCATCTAGACCCTCATAGGGGGCTGTTGAGGTCAGACCTCCAGGAATACTCAGGACACAAGCAGCCTCGAATGGGGTCATCATGAACTTTTCACTCTGGCCACCAGGAAGCTCAGAGCTCCATGGAGTATTCCTCAGGGTTTCCAAGCTATCAAAGGATGGGGGGCAGTCTGAAGGGTGAGTGAGAGGCTTGAAATGGGAGGCCAGCTCCTACTGGACCATGTGGAGCTCTATATTGTGACTCCATGAGCTTTAAGGAGATCAGAAACAGTACCGTGGCCCAGGGAGAACAGACATTAGGAGAGTCATAAAGGACTGTGGCTGAAGAGCAGGAGGGCTAGGCTGTTCTGGAGAAAGTCATATGCTCTCAGAGCTGAAAGGGCCTTCCAGAGCTCAGAAAACTTGATTTTAAAATGTGGACTCAGCCCCTCATTTTATGGATATAGAAGCAGATGACCAGAGAGTCCCCTCTGACTTGCCCAAGTCACAGAGTGAGTCCGTCAAAGAGCTAAGAAGTCACAACCCAGATTTCCTGGCTCTCCTGCCTCCACCCCCTTGTTGGGGAGCATCTCCTACATCTCCACCCCTGCCTCTTCTTTTTTCAGGGCAAATATTCTGGAGCCGGAGGGAACAGTGGAGATTAAGTACCGAAAGAAAGATCTGATAAAGACTATGAGAAGGATTGACCCAGCTTACAAGAAGCTCGTGGAACAGCTTGGTAAGAGGGTTGGATGTGCACCATCTCTCAGAGGGCAAGAGAAGCCCAGCCTGCTTACTACTAGAGGTTTCTAGTTTGGTAAAAACAAAGTGAAACGTCCTGAAACATACCTACAAAAATGGTGAGATGTTTTCAGTGTTCTCGTGTAGCAAAATCAACCCCTTTAATGCTAAGAAAAAATGTTTAATGCCTTAGTGTATGTATTTCTCAACACATATAAAATATAAAAATGGAAGTATTTGGGGCCAGTAAAGGAGATCAGCATTTTCACAGCAAGATGTCTTTTTAGAATTTTCCATCAGACAAAATATTTTACTAGTTTTGTTTGAGTGATAGCTTTGTTTCACTTGTAACCTTAGATGTAATTCTCTTTAAAAGCCCATATTGGGGGCACCTGGGTGGCTCAGTGAGTTCATCGTCTGACTCTTGATTTGGGCTCAGGTCCTGATCTCAGTGTTGTGAGATCAAGTCCCACATCTGACTGTGGAGCCTGACTGTGGAGCCTGCTTGAGATTCTCTCTCTCCCTCTCCCTCCGCCCTTCCTCCCCAACTCATTCGCTCGCTCACTCTCTTAAAAAAAAGTCCATATTGGATGGCAATATCTTTATAACTGTGCTCTTCACAAGATTTATCTGTGTGTGTGTGTGTGTGTGTGTGTGTAATTTCTTTGGTTTGGTATCAGGGTAATGCCAATCTCTTAGAATGAGTTGTGAAGGGTTCTCTCTTATTTTCTGATTTTGAACTGGCATTATTTCTTTAAATCTTCAGTAAGAGGTTTCTAGCTACAAATTCCTCTTTATTATATATAGGACTATTGAGGCTATCTGTTTCCTCTCGGCAGAGCTCAAAGAATTTGTCTATTTCATCTAAGGTGTGAAATTGGCAGAGTTTATAATCTTCCCTTCTTATCTTTTGCAATATGCAAAGCACAGTGGTTCTTTCTGATTAAAGGGGCACATGCAGTCGCAGGCTCAATGCTGTCTCTCCGTTGGGAGTGCTTCCCTGAGATGGCAGGAGCAGCTGGATTGGGGGGTACGATCGGAATTCAAGTGTGGTGGGCCTCTGCCGCAAAGCCTGGTTTGTGCCCTTGCCCACAGGAATGTCGGAGCTGTCCGACATGGACCGCAAGGACCTGGAGGGCCAGCTGAAGGCCCGGGAGGATCTGCTGCTGCCCATCTACCACCAGGTGGCAGTGCAGTTCGCCGACCTACACGACAGGCCCATCTGCATGCTGGAGAAGGGTGCCATCGCTGTAAGAGCCTGCGGCTGTGGGGCAGGGCATGAGTGGGCCATCCTAAGGTCACCTGGCTTCCAAACAGGAGGCGATCTGGGCGGGAACGCCACATGTTAGAATCACCTGGGGAGCTATAAAAAAAAAAAATCTCAGGGCTCAGGTGGCTCTCCAGACTAATGAAATGGGGTGGGGCGGGGGGAGCCTGGCATCAGTAGGGTTTCGAATCCCCAGGAGATTCCAACAGGCAGCAAGGTTTGGGAACCACCGGTCTGACCTCTGTGTGTGTGTCTGTAACTGCTGGGCCACACTTGGGACTGGTTGGTCCTGCCCTGCACTCACCCAGCACTGCCGGTCCCAAGCCCCGCCCCATCGCGCCACCCCCAAGAGGCTATCCTAGAGTCAGCCTACCACCCTGTGTGTGGTGCTCCCCTCCCCAGACAGACTAAGCCCTGCATGCCTCTGGTAAGCCAGTGTCGGGTTCTGGTGGCATCTCCCCTCCGCCACCTCCCCCCAAAACCTCAGCTGCCTGGTCTGTAAGATGGGAACGATCGGAGAGCCTGCACCTCGTGCGGGGCCCAGCCCCAACGGTGCCATGCATCTCCCCCTGCCCTCCCGGAGGGCTCAGGCCTGGGGCTCGTCCGCAGGACATCCTGGAGTGGAGGACCTCACGGACCTTCTTGTACTGGCGCCTGCGCCGTCTCCTGCTGGAGGACCAGGTCAAGCAGGAGATCCTGCAGGCCAGCAGCGAGCTGAGCCACGTGCACATCCAGTCCATGCTGCGCCGGTGGTTCGTGGAGACCGAGGGGGCCGTCAAGGTGGGCCTGGGGTGGAGACGGGGTGGAGATGGGGCGGGGGCCGCGGGGGGCCAGAGGCTAGCTAGACTGCTGGGCGTGGGGTCCATCTCTCCCCTCCCCCAGGCCTACCTGTGGGACAACAACCAGGTGGTGGTACAGTGGCTGGAAGAGCATTGGCAGGCGGGGGACGGCCTGCGCTCCACCATCTGCGAGAACATCAAGTGCTTGAAGCGAGACTCCGTCCTCAAGGCCATCAGAGGGTGAGTGGCCACCCCACCCCCCTGCCCATCCCTTGGACTTCTTGGCAAGTGCGGGAGCCAGGATTTTCCTCCAGCCGCATGACTCCAGAGTGGCTGCGTGGTCCCCAGGCCTCGGGCTCAGGCCTGTATTCCTTGTTGGAATCTATGGGGCGACTCATCCCAAGGTCACAGCTAGAGCACTTTTTTTTTTTTTAAGATTTTATTTATTTATTAGAGAGCATGCACAAGCAGGGGGGAGTGGGAGAGGGAGAAGCAGATCCCCCGCCGAGCAGGGAGCCCGATGGTGGACTCGATCCCAGAACCCCAGGATCGTGACCGAAGCCGAAGGCAGCCGCTTCACTGACTGAGCCCCCCAGGCGCCCCAACTAGAGTGCATTTGTGAGAACCCACATTCCTTCCCGCTAGGCTGTGGGCTGCTGCCTCCCATTTGGTATCAGCCTTCCCCAAGGATTTGCTCACCCAATTCCGACGGGGTCCCCTGTGAGGTGGGTTAGGTGATCCCGTGGGACCCCATTTGGGGAATGATGCTGAGGTCCCGGGAACGTGCTGTCTGTCCAGTGACACAGCTAGTGGCTGACGGGGTCCACCGTCCTCCGAGGTGTTCTCATCCCCAGGTGGTGTGCCCTCCCGCCACACGGGACCATCACCCCCGTGGTGGCCACAGCACAAAGAGATTTGGGAGCTCTGGGTTGTCACGCACATGGGAACATGACACGGGCCCCGCGCAGGGATTCTTGGGACCTGCCCTAGGGCCCACTGAGCTGAGTGGCAGGAATGACCCCAGCCCTCTCTCCCCTCCCACCGCAGCCTGGTGCAGGACAACCCTGAAGTGGCCGGGGACTGCATTGTGTACATGAGCCAGCATGTCAGCCCAGCCGAGCGGGCCCAAGTCCTTCACCTCCTGTCCACTGTGGACAGCCCAGCCTCCACCTGACCCCCGCCACCTCGCCACTTGCAGGACCACGGGCAAGAGAAACCATGCTGACCCGCCTACCGCAGGCCTCATCAGGACCTTGGGGGTTTGCTTTAAAAAAAAAAAAAAAAAAATCCTGGGCATTTCTGCAGGGCTGCTGGCCTCCCACTCACTCCTGTCTCAATAAAAGGCTCAGGAGTGTCCCCTTCCAAACAGAAATAGCTTCCTATCCGTTGCTGGGAAGTTTGTTCTGGTGTCTCTTGAGACACCACATTTTGCTGCATCACCAAATCAACCTGAGCCCAAACACCCCGGTTTCCTTTTGCCTTCCAGTGCCTGGCGTGCGGGACCCAGGTGTTCCTGCAGGCTTGTTTTGTATCCGATCATGGAATCTTTTATTTTTTTACTCTTGAGACCAACTCTTGATGGAAACATCTTCTATATTTCAGCAGAATAAATAGGCCAAGGAAAGAAGTACAGAGACAAGAAGGAAAAAAACCAAACCAAAACCCTATTTTTGTAATGATGCTTATTCGGATGCTGTCGAGTCACCCGGGAAAGGGTTTGAATGATTTTTTAGGAGAATAAAATGGTATCTCGTTCACCAAGTGGCCCCTAGAGAGTCACCAGGAACGTCTCATTGGTAGGCCATGCTTAGAGATTTTGTTTTTGAGAGAGAGACAGTAAATGGGCAGAATTGTCCAGCTGCCGCGTGGCTCCTAGCCCTCCACCGGCCCCTTCCCTCCCCTGGCATGCACCCTCGTGGCCAGTTGGAGAGTACAGAGGCAGAAGGAAAACCGTCACCCGGCCATGAGTGTCACTTCTGTGATTGCCACGGCCCTCCCCGGAGAGCCCCTCTGCTGTCACTCACCTGGTGCCTCAATGTCTGTGGAGGGATCCAGCCCCAAAGGGCAGAGCTGTGGGTGTTCAAGGACTGGACCATGAGGGCCGCACCGATTTGCTCAGGGAGACCTCTGTGACATGCACTCCTGCACTGGGCTCTGAAGGCTGCCCCACGTCAGACCTGCTATCCTCCTGGCCCCGTCCCTCGGTCCCCCGGTGCCAGTAATGGGGGCAGTCGGCCGTCCCCCCCGCCGCCCCGCCCCGCCCAATGCCGGGACAGGCAGTTTGTCTGAGGACACCACGTGTCATGCCGGACCCGTTCGGAGGCCAGCGAGGATGCCCAGGGAAGCCCCTGCAAGCCAGGATGCTTGAGGATGCCTGAGTTGAAAAAAATACAGTTGGGCCATCAGCCGATGACAGCCCTGGCAAAGCAAAGTGTCCTGGCGGCAGTGAGGGGTGGGAGAAAGGTGAGTGAGCTGTTGCCCCATCCTGCGGCCCGTTGTGGGAGGGAGCAGACCTCCGTGCTGCATTGGGACCTGAATGTTTCCCAGTGCGGGAGGCTCCCGTGGTTTTGGAGGGAAAGAGAAGTCGATGACTAGCTGCTACCCAGGAAGGGTGGGTGGGGGAACCCACCAGGAGGTGTGTGGAATAAAGTATTTTTTAAAGGAAGCCCTTTGGCCTTGACTTATTCTCGGGACCAGAAAAGGCAGGCCGCCTCCCTGGGTGATTCCGCCGCAGCTCACCAGCCTCCTACATGGGCTGAAATCTTGAGCAAGCCCCCATCCGAGGAAGACAAAGCTCTGATAGGAGTTTGTATCCCAAAGACCACAGGTGGACTTGGTCTTTTCAGCGGGATTTCAAAAATGAGCGCATGTCGCTATCTGCCGGCTGATGATGCTGAGTTTAGCACATTGGCAATCAGCTCAGCTGCAAGTCCTTTGCCTGATCAGGCTGACTTCCCTCCTTGGGGGACTTTGTGCAGCCGCCTCCAAGGAAGTCATACCACCGAGTGTGGACAGAGGCCTCGGTGGGCAGCTTGGGTCCAGACCAGATGCTCAGGGTGATGGCCACTGGCTGTGTGTGGTGCCCTGACTTCATCCCATGCGATCCTCGGGAGCCCCTGAAGTCCATGCTACCCTCTATCCTCACTTCTATAGACAAGAAAACGCCGGCTCAGAGATGAACAGACTCGCCTGAGGTCACACAGCTGGTGAGAGTTGGGGCCAGGCCCCCAGGCTGAGCCAGACTCAATCTTGCTAGGCTTCTGGCTTTCCCAGAAATCCTGAACCTTTGCAGAGGTTACATCCTGAAACGTGAGGACACCATCTAGACCTGCCCCACTCCGCCCCCTGGCTAATCCAACCAACGTCATCACTTGGATCCTCATCAAGAACCTGGCACCTCCTGGGCCAGGCCTCTGCTGGAGGCCAGCTACCCTCTCCATTCACTGAAGTCTCTCCCTCCCTGGATCAGCAGATTCTGGAGGCCCCCCCCCCACAAAATCACCTGAATGAGCCCTGTGTCCTTGCGCGTACAGCTTGTCCAAATCACAAATGTGGGGCGCTGCCAAACGGCATCCCAACTTCTGCCCCTTGGTTTGCCTTCCCCACCTAGTTCTCCAGCTCCAAAAGTCAGTTGGCCTTTTAGCCCAGAGTCATTCTTCCCCCGCCACTTTGTTATGAAAAATCTCCAAACACCAAAAAGTCAAATTCTCAGCCGCAGACCCCCAATCATCCAGTACTCACTGCTGTCCTTGATGTTTTCTTGTGCTTGTCCTTGCTTACTGCCTATCTCTCCATCTCTCCATCCCTCTCTCAATCTGTCAATCCATTTTCTTATTTGGACCTATTTCAGAGTGAATTGCAGACATTAGTATATTGTTCAAAATGCGTTTTTTTCTTTAAATCACATCCTGAGGGGCACCTGGGTGGCTCAGTCGGTTAAGCGTCTGCCTTCGGCTCAGCTCATGATCTCAGGGTCCTGGGACCAAGACCCCCGTTGGGGTCCCTGCTCAGTGGGGAGTCTGCTTCTCCCTCTGCCCCTCCCCACCTCACCCCTCAGCTTGTGCTCTCTCTCTCTTGCTCACTCTCTCAAATAAAACCTTTAAAAAAAATAAATCACATCCTGAGCTCCTCTGCAGGTGAGAGCACGTTGAGAACAACAGAGGTGTGTTGAGATGAGGTGGCCAACCGCGTGGCTAGGGAGGGGGGCTCCAGCCTCCCAGTGCACAAGCCTGTCTGTGCCAATCATTTTCATTAACTATTTATTGAGCGCGTACTACGTGCCAAGCACTGTGTGAGGGGGCACGGCCATGAGCAAGACAGCCACTCCCGCCCTCGGGAGCTGATATCCAAAGGTAGAAATTGCAAGTGGTTAACTACAAGGAGACCTTCCTGGTCACAGCTGTAGTTGCTATAGCAGCTGATGCCCAAGCCACGCCAAGGCTTTCTGCCAATAGTCGACCCCCAAAATGCCCCTTCACTGTTCCAAGTGCTCCCAGGGAAGAGTTCTCACTTGATCCTATATGGACTGGCATGAGCCACACCCAGCTTGCACACCTTTCCTACAGACTGTCATCCTCACGCACCAGACCAAACTTGTCAGTTCACCTTCAGATGAGCACAGACTCTTTCTCTTGTGAGAAACACTCCTTCCCCTTTGGCCTTTGCCTAGCTGACTCCTACTCATCCCTCAAAACCCAACTCAAATGGTGCTTCCTCCAGGTAGATCTCCCTGACCACCTCCCCAATGGGTTGGGAGCCCGTTCCCTGTGGTCCTTCAGCTTCTGTGTTTCTCCTCTTGCATGCTCATATATATATGAAATGTGGATTTGCAAATGAAATGTATACCTAGGGATCCCTGAATCCCTCTGGCTACTGAGCGGAGGAGGGATTTTGGAGAGCAGTCTTACCGGCAGAGAGGTGGTCCCCTTCTGGAAGGTGAGGGGAAAGGCCACTTTCAATGATGATCTGTATCTTGTGATATTCTGACCCATGTGTAGCTCTGAGCAGCTCCGTGTGCAAGAAACACAGGCCAAGAATCTAGGATGTTTCATTTTTCATTTTTTTATTAGTGTAAGATATACATAAGATTCACCATTTTGGCCATTTCGAAGTGTATAGTTCAGTGACGTTACGTACATCCACGCTGTTGAGCAACCGGCACCACCATCCGTCTCCACAACATTCTCATCTCAGACTGGAACTCCTTGCCCATTACACACCCCCACTGCCCCCTTCCCCCAGCCCCGGTGACCACCAGCTCCTCTCTGTCTCCATGAATCTGCCGACTCTGGGTACCTCCTACGAGTGGAATCATGCACTGTTAGCCTTTTGGTGGCTGGCTTCTTTCACTCAGCATAATCTCCACAAGGTTCATCCCTATTACGGCACGTGTCCGAATGTCCATCCTTTTTAAGGCTGGGTAACATCCCATTGAACATATACACTACTGTCTGTCTTAGTCCGTTCAGGCTGCTGCAACAAAGTACCACAGACTCGGGGGCTTATAACTTATAAATAACAGAATTTCATCGCTTACGGTTCTGGAGGCTGGAAATCCAAGATCAGGGTGACACCACGGCCTTGCTGTGTCCTCCCCTGACAGAAAGGGCAGGGAGCTCTCCAGGGCCTCGTATAAGAGCATGAATCGCATTCATGAAGGTTTCACCTTCGTGACCTAAGTACCTCCTGGAGGCCCCACCTCCTGATGCCATCACGTGGGCATTAGGATTTCAACTAATGAAGGGGGGGTGTGGCCGAACACAGACATTCAGACCATAGCACCCACATTCCGTTTATCCATCCATCCATCGATGGTCACTTGGGTTGCTTCCACCTTTTGGCTTTTGGGAATAATGCTGCTGTGAGCATGGGCGTGCAAAGATTTCTCCGAGTCCCTCCTTTCACTTCAATTGGGGGTAGATGCCCAGACGTGGAATTGTGGACCAAACGGCAATTCTATGCTTCGCTTTTGGAGAAGACGTGGTACTGTTTCCTGCGGGGTCTACACCGTCCTACATTCCCACCGACAGGGCATGAGGATTCTGGTTTCTCCATATCCTCCCCAACACGTACCGGCTTTTTGGTTCGTTTCTATAGCAGCCGTCCTTACAGGTCAAGCCTAGAAGCAGTTTTAGCTCAGAAGTCGTTGAACCTTTTTGCTTGCATCCCTCCCACAGGGTGGCGGGGGCACATGCAGCCTCGCCCGCGTGCGCCTTTAAATTTTCCTTCCCCGTGCATCCTGCTTCCCCCGCCCACCCAGCGGCTCCTGCCCTGGCTGCCCTGCCGTCCGCCAGTTTGGTCTTCCGCCGGCTACCCCTGGACTGGAGGTGGGGGTGCTGAGACCCCGGGGATGGGAGGCTCCGCATTCGCACCCAGAGGAGGAACCGGCATCGTCCAGAGGAGGCAACACCTGCTTCCTCATCTCCTCTCCTACGTCTTGTGTCCGTTCCTTCTCTCCCTCTCTCCGAGCCTCCACCAGCTGCCCTTCAGGAGCAAACACTCCGCGAGGCAGGGCGATGCCACGGGAAGGGCCGGGACATCGGCAGACCTGGGGTCGAACCCACAGTTGCGGCCCCACTTCCGGCCAGCAAGCGGGTGATGCCAGCAGAGCTGAGCCCTGGGAGATGGATACGGGGCCGGCGCGGGGAGCAGAGCGCCCTTGGAGCCCCAGCTCCCGCCCTGACTAATCACAGGTAAGCGGGCTCCACCTCTCTGAGCGTCAGTTTCCCCTTCTGTAACATGGGCTGTTTGTTTCCTGCGGCAGCTGTCACAATTAGCACAAGCTTGGTAGCTTCAAAACCACACAAACGTGATCTCTTACGGTTCTGGAGATCGGAAGTCTGAAACGGGTCTCGCTGGGCTAGAATCAGGGTGTTGTGAAGCCTGTGGCCCTTTTTGGAGGCTCCGAGGGAAAGCCCATTTTCTCGTGTTTTCCAGTGTCTAGAGGCCCCGTTCCGTTGTCAGAGCCAGCAAGGTGGGCTCTTCAGAGCTGACACCGAGCCTCCCTCCTTCACGTCTCAGGATCCTGTGATTACAACAGGGCTAACCTGGATAATCCAGGAGACTCTCCCTAGATTCAGGGCAGCTGATACACAACCTTAATCCCGCCTGCTCCCTTCGTTGCCCTTGCTGTAACATAACCAAGTCACAGGATTAGGACGTGGCCACCGCCGGGGAGCCACTATTCCACCTCCCAGGGGGGACGGCAACTACCCCCCCACCCCCCAGAGAACAGGATAAATGAAATAGGCCGTGTCGCAGTGCACGGAGCAGAGTAAGCCCCGTACGTGTTGGCCGGTCGCGTTGCTCTTTGTGCGGTTAGAGCGTGGGTGATTTCTCCTGGAGGGAGAAGAGAAGCTGCACGATCACGAGCTGAGTCTCCGTTTTCTCATCTGGGAAACGGGGCCATCTCCTGCCTCTGTGGGTGGTTGAGCTGGACTAGTCAGGAGCGGCTTCCTGGTGTTTAGCTCAGTGCAGCACGCAGCTGGTGTTCAAAGGGTGGCCAATGATGAGTATTTTTCTCCGGAGTTGACCAATTGCAGAAAGAGCCTCCACGAAGCCTCATTCCTCCTGTCTCTCCTTCGAGCCTTCTCCCGGGGTCAGCTCGGCCCCTGCACGGGTAACGCTCGGGATGTGACTGGGGCTCTGGCTGAGAGCTTGTGCCCTTTTTGCCTTGATTCTGTGCATACGAGGCTTCACCCTCCAGTGTGGCGGCCCTGTCCTGTAGCTTCTGCAAAGTCCCCAGGTGATGCCCATTTGCTGTGACCGACACGGCCTGGGTCATTCCAACCCCAACCAGTCAGAGGGCGGTGGGGGCAGTGATGCACTCATTGGCCAGGCTTGGGTCACAGGGCCACCCTGGAGCCAAGCCATGGAGGGAGTCTCTCCCTGTCATCTGCTTGGTTTCCACTGAGGTGGGGCCCGTCCGCCCTTCCCCATCATCCTCCTCGTACCCTTCCTTTCCTGCTAATTGTCACACATGCACGGACTGGTGTCCCCAGTGAGGCTGCAAGCCACTCCCCAGGAGGGCTAAAGAGCTAGACCGCCTCCTAATTAATGCACCCTTCTGCTGTTATCTTGGATGGCAAGACATTCTTTTATTTCCCTGAGCCTCAGTTTCTTCATCTGCAAAATGGGTGCAGTGACGAAGCCATGCCTGGCAGGGTCGTAACGAGGATTGAAGGAGGGCCTGGTGCTGAAAAGGGTGCACCTGCTCCCACCTTGTTACCTTCTCTGACCCCAGGAATGCACCAGAGGCAGCACCACTGAGCTCTAGCTCTGGAGTCTGGCACACACGGCCTCAGTCCTACCTCTTCGGCTGATCTGAGCCTCTGCTTTCTCAGCACTAAATGGAGTTCACATCCCTGCCTGAGGGATGCCTGCCAAAAGCCTGACACTGAGGGCCAGTGAATGATGGCTATGCTAATTTTCCCAATAATGACAAACTCCAATGGGAACCTGGCATCAGACACCTGGGTACAGTGTTGCTGTGGTGTGACCTCTCTGGGCCTCAGTTTCCCCATCTGTAAATGGGACCTCACCTGTGAGTGGCGAGTGACAAATGGCGTTTTTGTCCTTCACCCCCCCTCACACCTCTCTCTGAGCCACAGGGCTGCCATTCAGCCTTTATTGACAAAAAACAGTTATTCAACACTACTCTCACAGAGTCTTGGCGTCACCCGAATGTGGGGTCTTCATTAACAACAACTCAAACATCTTAACTTGTCGGGGGGTTCACATCACACAAAGCCGCTGAGCGGTCCTGCTCAGATGGGCAACACCAGGCTGTGTCTAAAGATGATGGCTGCTCGGCAGAAAGTTCCAGAATTAAGTAGCAAGTACTTAAATAAAGATGGTCCTTTGAGACAAGCCCCAACCTTGAGCCCTCCAGGCGGCTGGCTGAGGAAAGTTCTGGCCCTTGGGTTTGGGAATGCCCAGACACAGGAGCCAAATGCCTGGTTGGTCAAGAGAGGACAGTGGTCTGATCCACCACTGCAGTTTCTCGGCATCGACTGGGCTGGAAGGTCCCGAGTTACCTTCTCTTGTCCCCGCTGACCCAGGCTCCTGTCCCTCCTCCAACCCGCTGTCTGCAGAATCCGCCACTTGCAAAATCAGTAATTGGTAACGAGAGAAAAAAAAGAAAAATACATAAAAATGGCCATAGGGCAATGAATAGGCAACCAAGTGCCAATAAATACTCTGCATTGCAGCTTTGTCAGCCCTCCCTCACCGCGTGGGGCAAGCTTTACATGGTTCCGTTTGCTTTTTCCATCACAAGTATCTTAAATTTCAGCACAAATGGCCCCCGCCATTCTTCCCGTTCCCATCCCGATCTGCCCTTAGAAAGCCCCCGAGCCCGGAGCGATGTAGGGCACCTCTCCTCCCAGGTGCGTGTGGGAAGAGATCCAAGTCATGACCCAGCGGCTAGAAACGTCTCTGGTCTCCAATTTAGAAAAAGAGGATGTTCCATAGTATCCAAAGTGCTTTCTGTTCTAAAAAGCAGCCCAAGGCTGCAAAAGGGCTTAAGAGCCAGTTGGAGTCATGATGTCCTGGAGAAATTTGGGAGTTAGGGCTACCAGGATGCAGGCAGGGACCGGGGACTCTCATTCCAGAGGCCGCGGGCCAGTTTCGAAGAGATGGTGCAGAGGGGCTCCAATAAATATAAATAAATGCACACGGGGGCCCAGGGCCCGGCATGGCACAGGGATCTCTCCCTGCAGGAGGAGCGGGCCTGGAGGGTCGGGGGCGGGCGCCCGCCTCGGAGTTCAGCCCAGGCCAGGCCAAGGGAAGCTGGCCACTCGGCCAGTTCTGCTCCAGGCCTCGGGGCCTGGGCTCTGGGGGCTGAGGTGGATGCTCAGTCCCAGAGGAATAAATTCAAGAGCCTCCCCACTGGAGGAGTTTCCATGGTGCACCAACGCGTCCCATCTCAAAGGGGGTTGCAGGTCATTTCAGGAGCCTGGCGGGGATGCAGGCCGGAGAAATCTTGTTCTCAGATGTCACTCTCTGGGAGGAGCATTGGGGTCGGGGGAAGCTGGCGCGCCTGTCCACTCTCCTCTGTCCTTCTGACTTGGGGAGGCCCCAAAAGACCTCCTGTGGAGGTGTGAGGGGGCCAGGGGCGCCAACAGGGTGTAAGAGGCCTTGCTTCCAGGTACACCAGGCTCCAGGAGCTCTCTGCCGGGCCCAGGGGCTGGGGGGCAGGTGAGGCCGGCACCTCAAAGCAGGGCTATGGGCTTGTTCCCCGGGGCGCCCAGGTACTGGGAGGAGGAGGTGGTGGCTGCCGCGGCCACACTGTCTGGGGTCGAGTACGTGGCATAGAGACCTGTCACCTGCAAGTCTGGGAAGGACTGGTCGCTGCTGCCGGAGATGGGGGTCAGGCCCGAGGCCCCCAGCTCACAGCCAAGGGGCGAGTCTCCGAAGGTCCCCAGGGTGTCCAGGCTGAAGCCCCCATCCTTCATCTCCTCCCAGAGGTTCCCTTTCAAAGACAAAGGCATTTGGGTGAGCCGGCTTCATGACAAACAGACCTGAGTTCGAGTCCCGTCTTAAGGAAGAGGCAAAGACCGTGCGCGGGGTTCAAAGTCGGGGATTGCAGGGGAGGGGGCATGGAGAAGCCAAGTTCCAGCCCCGGCCCTCCCTTTCCCACTGGGCATCCCAGGGAATGTCGCTTCTGTCCCAGAGCCTCAGGCTCCTTGGGATGAAATGGAGATGATCAGAGACCTCCCGAGGCTTCAACAGGGGGATGTGTGGAAAGCAGGGACTCTCCCTCAGGGGTCCCATCACGGCCCAGCCAGGGGACAAGACAGCGATTTCCCTACACAATAATCCAGCGGGACAGGCAGGGAGGGCCGAATATACCCACTTCACGGCTGTAAATAACTCCCTCGCGAGCTAACTCACAAACCTGCTAACCAGGCCATTCCCTCTCTAGACACGGAACTCCCAGAGGGCAGGGAGGAGTGCTCAGCCCTTGGCTGGCTCTCAGGAGGTGCGCCCGGGTCGTGAGCGGACGAATCACGAGACCCTTGTCCTTGCATTCATTCATTCAGCTCCTTTGTGTCAAGCGTGACCGAGTGGCAGGCAGTGGGTCAGAGCGTGACCTGGCCTGAGCTTGGCACACGCACGCTGAAGCAGTTACTGAGTAAAAGCTGGGGGTCAGACGCACCCGGGGCTCTGCCACTTACTAGCCGGGTGACCTCGGGCCAGTGACCTCACCTCTGTGTCTCATCTCCTCGGTGGCAGAATGGGGACAGGAAATGGCAGCGGCCTCCCAGGACCGTTGCAGGGATGGGGTGATGGTTATGAAGTGCTTGGCATGAGTCCCGGTATACAGTAAGCACTCTTGAAACGCTCACTGGAATTCACCAGCATGAGGCGATTGGGAAGTACTTGTCCAGGGAATGAGCTGAGGGGTAAATGCCGACAGGCCTCCTCTCCCTTGCCCTCCCCCATCCTTCTGGCCCTCCAGCCCCCACCCCCCCACCATCCCCTTCTGTCCCACCCCACCCCCGTTCCTGCAGCCTCACCCTGCAGGGCAAAGTCCATGATGCTGGGGTCCAGGGCGTCCACCTCGGTGCTCATGTCGGTGCTGATGTTGATGAAGTCCACGGGGGCCCTTCCCAGGGCAGGGTGGGGCAGGGGGCTAGGGCTCAGCTCCGGCAGGGCGTGCAGGGGTGGGGTCTGGGCCGGGGCGGGAGAGTCTGGGGCCAGATGTGCCTGGGGCTGGACCTGGTGGTGCAGGGGGACTGACTGCAAGGACAGGGTCATCAGGGGCTGGGGTGGGAGCTGGGAGACAGCCAGGCAGCCATGCGCCATGGCCACTGTGGCAGCATGAGTCAGCACGGTGGTCTCGGAGTTCCCAGGCCTCCTGCAGCTTTCTGGTCGGTCCGAGATCAGCTTGTCCAGCTCCTCTGCAGGCAAGGGAAACGTCCCTCAGAAGCCACCCTGCGGTTCCCAGGCCCCAGGGTTAGCATGCCTGTAACCCCAGCAATCCCCTTGGACTCTCTGAACCTTGGTCTCTTCATCTATGAGAGGGCACTGTACATTCTGCACAGTGTTTTTGGGGAAATGTAATGAAATCACAGATTGCATAGGGTCTTTGAGGAATGAGGGAGCCTCCCATGATAACGGCGGCTCCTCTCTTTGGGACAATGCTATAGCTCTAGGACGTCCCTTGAAGCTAACAGCCTTGCAAGAGGAGGTTAAGGCAGAGAATACAAGTCCAACAACATCAGGACAAAACTTATGAACACACAAGGGGTCCTAGCCACTCCCTGCTACTAAAGAGACATTAAGAAGTGTTACTGCGGGTTAAAAGTCAGATCCTCCTTAATGCTCTTGGTTACAAACAAGACAAGTGATCACTCTGAAATTATTCTTGGTTGTTGGCTTGCGTCTCCTTGAATGTAACACCAATTTGAGACTGGACCACTAGGGTCCCAGGACCTTTTTAGGGTGGCACCCATTTAGGCTGGCCCACTTAGGGGTGCCTGGGTGGCTCAGTTGGTTAAGTGGCTGCCTTCGGCTCAGGTCATGATCCCAGAGTCCCGGGATTGAGCCCCGCATCGGGCTCCGCGCTCCGCGGAGTCTGCTTCTCCCTCTGCCCCTCCACGCTGCTCATGCTCTCTCTCTCTCTCTCTCAAATAAATAAAATCTTAAAAAAAAAAAAAAGAAAGAAAGAATTTTGGTACAAAAAACTTGGTTTATAAACCTTTTGTTGAAATCTTTGATATTTTCAGCATACGTTGCCAGAAGTAAAATAACTCAACCAAAAAAATGGGGAGTGGTTTGCAGGGCTTTTAGATATTACTTTGCCCTGGAAAAGTTTAACTGAGATTCCCACCAATCATATATGAAGGTGCCTGTTTCTCTGCATCTTAGCCCATACTAGGTGTTATTATTTTATTCTTTTATTGTTTTAAAACTCGGTGCCAGGGTGGCAGGCTCGGTGAGAAAGCGATGTCCTCCTTGGTCGTTTAGTCTGGCATTTCTCTGTGAGAACCTAGGGGCTGCTTAGGGAGACTGAACAGTTTTCCACAGGCCTCTGACCAGGCCCCTCAGCGGACCTGCCCCAGGGGAGGCATATTTCCCGGGAGGGGAGGAGGAAAGTTCACCAGGCGCCCGTATCCCCACCAGCGAGGCCGGGACCCGTGGCTGGACCGGACACAGGCGGGGACGTGTGGTGCGGGTGGCGGACGGGGAGTCTAGGCCTCACCAGGGTTGGCCATGCTCCGGTGGATGGCGGCAAGGTCCTTTCTCTTCCACTTGTACATCTCCTCCTCCATCTTGTCGATGCGGGCCAGGTTCAGGGCCCACAGGCAGCCCTTGCGGGAGGAGCCGCTCATCTTGTTCTCCACCTTCTCGAAACACTTGTTCAGGGACAGGTTGTGTCGCACTGAGTTCTTCCAGCCATCGGGAGCCGTCTGTGGGGACAGACGTGGACACGCAGGAGACCCCCTCAGAGACCTCCCCGTAAGCCCTCCCTCTGCAGGGGCATCTCAGACACAGGCCTCAAGGGGCAAGGGCACGACGGCGGCAGGGTGAAGTGACAGTCTGATGGCCAGCCTTGAGTTGGGAAGACAAGAGAGACTGGTGGGGATTGTGGCTCACCGGAGGGCCCGCGCCCTGTTAAAGGGGCAACCCCACGTCAGCTCCAGCCAACAGTTGCTACGTGAGAACAGGCTCAGGGATGCCGAATTGTCCCCTCTGTCTCTCCTCCTCAGGAAGCAAGCAAGAGAGGGGATGCTAACACGCGGGTAACTGGCCAAGGGTATTCAAAGCCGATCGTGTTTAAATGCTCACACTTTGTTAGGTAGCCAGATACTACAGTGCGCCTCACATTCTATCCCTGGCCCCCTGCACACGCACACACCACTGTCTGCAGTATTTCTGCTAAGGACACTGACCACGTCAGGGACCCTGCAGCTTGGTACCCTCTGACCACCTGCTCCTTATTTTGCTTTGGTGCCAAGAAAAATCACGTTACTGATAGCCAACCACGTGCCAGGAGCTGCCAAGGCCCTTTGCACGCAGAGCCCTCACTCACCTGGCCAGCTGGGTATCATTCTCCCCATCTTACAGATGGGCAAACCGAGGCTCAGAGAGGCCACAGCTCTTGCCACGTCTGTGTTCTGCATCAGTATGTTTTAGGGAGTCTGTGCGGAGTCACTAGGCTGGCCCCACCACCCTCTGCTCCCCCCCGCCACCGCCCCGATGCCTGGTGAGTTCCTTCTCTGGGCAGAGTCCAGCTCCAATGCCCCCTCCTCCTTCTGGCCTTCTTTGGCCATGTCTGTGTGAATGCACAGATACAGGGGTCTATGGACATCACTGGGGACCTGAGACAGTGACCCAGTTTGGCCTGGGGCCAGTCCCGGGTGCTGGTGGTGTGAGGGAGAGGCCGGAGCAGCTCTAGCATCCCTCCCCCGGGCTGGGGCCCCTCACCTTGAAGTAGGGGAAGTGCTCCTTCATGAAGCTGTAGATCTCACTCACAGGCAGGCTGCCTGTCTTGCTGTTCTTCAGGGCCATGGCGATCAGACAACTGGAGGTGAAGGGTGGGGCAGGCCAGATGTAAAGGTGTCTCAGGCTGACAGCCCAAGGTCTCCTCTGCCAGGAAGTCTGCCCTGCTTGACCCCACCGTACCAGCCCTTCCATACTCAAACTCAAAAGGTATCAAGCTCTGGTACCTTTTCATGGCCCTTCATCTTGCCCACCCCTTGCCCTTCTCCTTGACCCTGAGCTCAGACAGTAGTACCAGTTCGAGAAAACTCTTTTCCTCTCTTTATCCCTTCCTCATAGTTAATGTCTATGGGCCTTTAGACTTTAACTAGGCTGCTTACCGCCACCCCCCAATCTTATGGGGTACACAATGTTATTACGTTGATGACTTTTTACATCAGAGGGAACTGAGGCTCAGAGAGGCTAAGCCACTTCCCCAAGGCCACGCAGTTCGTGAGTGACAGAATGGAGCATCGGGCTCAGGGTCTGGAGTGGGTTCTCCACCCTGGGGACTGACGGAGCACATGATGTCATTCCTAGAGCTCATCCCACCGTCAAATGCTCCCCACTCGCCAAAAGCTCCCCCCGTCTGCAAGTCTGAGCTGTCCTAAAGGCAGCCCTCGCCCCTCTCCTCCCCGAGGCTCCCACGGCCCCGGCCCAACCTGGACCTCACCTGTATGAGTAGATGGGCTTGGGGTAGTGTTTGGGGTGCAGTTCCTGAGATGAATGGACAGCCATGCGGGGCTGGGGGTAGGGAGGCCGTGCTCCAAACGGGGAGCTGTACAGGCCCATGGGAGGGCACTTCCCACAGGCAGGGCAGAGAGAGAAGGTGAGAGAGAGCATAAGCCACTCACAGGAACCCCACCCCACCCCAGGCTCGCTTTTTAGGAGACGCTGTTTAGCAAGATGTGAAGTTGCCGGCCCCAGGAGACAATCCTGTCTCTGCTCCCTGCACGGGATTTAGGGAACCCAGTGAACGACTCTATGACGTGGTCATGGGGAATGCTATCCCCATGTTGCAGGGGAGTAAACTGAGGCTCAGCGAGATCCCTGGCCAGCCCAACGCAGGGATGTGTGTCTCCAAGTCCAGGGCCCCTCCAAGCCCCCCGTACCTGCTGGGTGCCTGGGGGGGGCGGTAACTGTGTTTGGGAGGCAGGTGAGTAGAGCTGTGGGGCGTCCTGCAGGCCGGATGAGGGCTGGCCCCCCACAGGGATCTGGTTCATCTGCAGGGGCCGCAAGAGGAGACAGAGGTCAGGGTGAAGGTGGGGCACCCCAGCCCTGGAGGACCCCCGCTCCAGCTCCCTGAGCCATGCTGTGGCGCTTACCCTGGTTCCGTGGTTGGCGATGGGGCCCAGACCTAGCATGACTGGGGGGACCATGCCAGCCGGGCCGTGGAGCAGGGCACCTGGGGTGGCTCCCACGTGCAGGTCAGCTGCCCTGGCCAAGGCACCTGCAAAAGGGAAGCACAGAGATGCCGCCGGGCTGGAGGAACGGGGTCTGCTGGCAGAGCAGCTCCGGCCCTGGACACCGCCAGAGCACGGAGCCTGCCCCAAGCCTTGGGGCCAGGTGCATAGCAGGTGCTTGGCCAATCACCGCCCTGGAGTGTAGTGCTGAACCGTGGCTTCCTACCAGCTGTGTGGCCGGGCGCCAGCCTCAGTTTCCCCAGTGGAGCTACCGAGGTCACTTACGTACGAAGCTGTTTGTGGGGGTTTAGATGCAGTAATGTCTATAAAGTGCTTATCACGTTGCTGGCTACAGGACAACATCGTGATAAATATGAGTCAGTAACAAATAATAATGATAATGTCATTAATAGCTTGGTTCTCGTCCAAGCTATTAATGACATGAAGCTAAAACATCAATTCATTATTCAGTTCTCCTCCTCGGAATCATGCCTTGGTTCCCCCGTGCCTCCTCTCCCCTCTGCCAAGCCCTGCCCCTCTGCTGGGGATGAGCTCAGTACTCACGCCTGCCCGCCAGCCGCCCGTCCTAGGCCCGGGGCAGACATTGCTAATCTATCACAGATCCTCACTGAACCATTCTGCTTTGGGGCTACCTTCTAGATTAAACCAAGTTGACCTGCAAGATGATCCTGCCCTGGGGCCACCTCTTCCAGGAAGACTTCGGGGCCCCTCAGCTCTCTTCTGAGTCCTGGCTGCCACTTGGGCTCATCCGTGGTGCTTTTTGGTCTGTCTGTCTTGCCCTCTCTTGGACCAGACCCTCAGCTCCCTGAGAACTAGGACCACATCTTATATGACTCAGGGCTCCAGACACCTCGCATAGAGACAGGAACACAGGAGGGGTGCGGCCGCACAGCGGAGAAGGGAGGGGCTTCCTTCTTTCACGCTTCCTGTCTGTTGCGTGCCATACAGCACCTACTGTGTGTCCAAGGTACTTTAGGCACTGAGTCTTTTCAACACCCCAGGAGGGCAGCTCTGCTCTCCTTTCGTTGCACATAAGGAAATAGGTCAGAGAAGAAAGTACTTGCCCAAGGTCACAGAGCTGGAGGTTCTAGATCAGGGTTTGGTAAACTATGTCCAGCAAGCCAGATCCAGCCTGTGGGATGTTTTTGTAAATAAAGTTTTATTGGTACACAACTACACCCATTCATTTACATTGTCTGGGGCTGGGCTTGCACCACAGGGACCATCCGGCCTACGGAGTCTAAATATTGACTACATGGCCCTTTAAAGAAAGAGTTTGCTGACCCCTGCTATGGATGTTTTGGCCAAGAACAATTTGTTCAATGAAATAAATACTCCTAGACCCTAATTTTTCAACTATTGGTACTTTTAATGTCCTGTGATGATTGTTTTCAACCCTTTCTGTGTCTCTAAATATTCAGTCCCCTTGCTGTGACTGCAACTGACTGCCGTTGATCGAGCACGTACTGCGTGCCAGGACCATCGGCACTCTCCACGCATCATCCCTCTGAAGGTCAGGGTCCCGTAGACTTCTTCAGTAAAGGGCCAGGTAGCAAATATCTGAGGCTTTCCCAGCCATATGGTTTCTGTCTTCGGGTTTTTTACAACCCTTGAAAAATGCAAAACCATTCTTAACACAAGGGCGATCCAAAAAACAGGCTGCAGGTTCCAGGCTGCCTTTGGCCCGCGGGCCGTAGTTTGCCGACTGCTTTAGCTGTTCATGATGTAGAGGGAAGGGGCAGGGCTCTCTGTATTCTTCACTGAAACCTTAGCTTACACACAGACTGGCACACGGTGGTGAGCAAATGAATGAACCACATCCCTCCGAGGAAGGTATCACATTTTACAGATGCAGAAACAGAGGCCCAGAGAGAGAGAGAGAGTGAGCGAGCTGGCCAACCACCCAGCTGGTGGGGGGCAGTGCTGGGTGTCGCCCCTCCCCTGCACCACCCTCGTGCCCCCCCACCCGGCCCCTGCGCCTACCTGGGTGTGGGTGCGGTGCACTGGGGCCACCCAGGTCCACACGGCCACTCGCCATCTGCTGCAGCCGCGGCACATCCACTGCTGTGAGCCACGACAGCGACTGCAGGTCCCCGGGAAGGTCATCATCGCTGCTGGTGGCCAGGAGCCTGCAGGGAGGGGCAGGAGCTCGGGCGGGGCGGGGAGCTCAGGTCGGCTCCTGGGGGGGCTCCACCCCACCTCTGGAATCACTGCCTAGCCCCTCACCTCCCCAAGCTGCCCTCATCTGCCCATCTCCTGGGCTGGGCATGGTCCCAGGATCCCCGCCTTTGGCAGCCAGATCACACATCCTCAAATCATTCCTTCTTTTATTATACATCTGACCTTAGCCCCTACCTACCCCCACGATAATAAACACTAATGTTTGTTGAGCACTTACTATGTGCCAGACACCACATCAAATCCTTCACAGGTAGTAAGCCATTTAACACTCCTGGTCACCCCACAAGGCAAACGGTAGTAGTAGTAGTAGTATTCCCATTTTACAGATGGGGAAACTGAGGTGCAGGGCTCAGTGCTCAACAGGCACAGTCCTTTTTAATCCTGTTCAATCCCCGCAGCAGCCCTGAGAGGTAGGATACGCCCATGTGCCCCTCTTACATTCGGGGAAACTGAGGCTCAGAGCACTGAGCCATTTGCCCGAAGCCACACGTAACAGGAAGCGGTGGGGCCGGGACCCAGGCTCAGAGCCCGAACGAAGCCCGGGCTCTTCACCGTGCCCCCAGGCAGCCCCCGGAGACCTCCTGTTGGACCCACGCCCGCCACTCCTCAACAGACTCAGGAGCAAAACCATCACTCTCCACAGAAGGAGAAAGGCTGCCCACCGAGGATGGCAGGCAGGTCCCCCGGTGTGGGGTACGCAGGCCTCCCCAGCACCCCTAAAGTCATGCTTGCCACACGGCTCCAAGGGCACCGGGCCCCCACCCCCGGCTGCATGTCGTCCACGGGGTAAGGTGGCTGCAAACTGGCCCAGGGCCCACGCCAGACCCACCACGCCTGCCTCCACCCGCCCCCCCCGCCCCAGCCCTGCAGGCCAGGATCTCTCTGGTGTGTGGCCCAGAGGCCCACAGTCCACATTCTGAGAGCCCCGGTGTCAGAGGAAGCGTCTCAGGGCTTCCTAGAAAGGGGGAGAGAGAAAGCAGCGCAGCCTCTGGCTTTGTCACGCGTGGGGCAGGGGACCCCCCCGTGGGGCATCGGCTCTGCCACCCCCGGGCCCGCCCCAGCTAGTGCTGTCTCCCCCCCTTCCCACCTCGCCCGTGCTCGCTCTCCTTCTGTTTTAGGGCCACAGTGGGTGTTTCCATGGCCACAGCTGCTCCCTGTTGCAGGGCCTGGGCCCTCAGCCCAGCAGGCTGGCATCAGGTGACTGTCGGGCTGCCCCGGCCATTGGCTGCCTTGTAGGAAAACAGGGCCTGGAAACGATTTGAAAACCCGGCCGGCCGTGTCAGCAGCAGCAGTTGGCCTAGCTGCCGTCCCCCGGCGGCCCATTGTGCGACAAACGACTGTTGCCCCCGTGGCACGTGGCCCCCATTGTCCTGGGGTCTCCGTGCCATTGTTGTTGCCCTCCCCCCACCCCCGGCTGCCACTCCTGCAGCCTGCTCGTAACTCATCTGGCGGGTGACAGCCACGGCCCAGGCCTGGGCGATGCCATCTGTCCCCTCGGGCCCGTGGAGACCATGGGGTGAGGCCGAGGGGCAGGGCCTGGTGCACGGCCCACTGCACGGGGTGGGGTGGGAGGGGTGTCTGGCCAGTCCCCACCCACCCCACGACTCGCCGACCTCCCAGAGTCTGGTGGTGCGAACCCTGCTCCCTCTCCCCTACCTGCCATAGCTCCTCGTTGCCCCCGCTGCTCTGTCTGGCACTGGGGCAGCAGGGGGGAACGGAGGTGAGCCGCTGCTGTCAGGTTTCTGAAGCCGGGGCCCCACCAAAGCCCCCAGAATGGTGCTGGGGGGCTCGTAAACAGACTGGCTTTCTGGGTGCGAGCAGAGTCTCTGGCGGCCAGTGACTCTGACAGATCGTCCCCAGGGTGGTTAAGAGCTTGGGCTCTGGCGTCTAATCCTAGTCTCCACTTACCTGTGTGCCAGGGCCACTGACTTGTCCTCTCTGAGCCTCAATTTTTCATCTGTAAAATAGGGTTAATAACACTTCCTCTCTCCTAGGGGGTCGTGGGGATTCAGCGGGTGGTCGCATGTAAAGCCCTTGGAACAGTGTCTGACTCAGCTGCTGTTAACATTCATACCAATGTTAATGTTAATATTAGCCAGGTCCCCAGAGGACTGGAAGGCCATGGAAGCTTTGGGCGCTGTGGTCTCACGGACCCACCTCTATTGCTGCAGCCACTAGACGCTCCCATTTATTGAGCACTTCCTGTATGCTCTCTCCCCATTTTACAGACAGAGACACTGAGACCCCGAGCAGTCGCTTAAATGCCCGGAGCCCGTTTCCCCACGAAGGGAGGGTCGCAGAAGGTTAATGATGCCGCTGAGCGCATAGAAGGGCAGAGTAAATGGTGCTATTCTGATTGTGCTTCTATGGGTTTTTGTCCTGCTCTTTGTGTGCCCCCTCCTGGTTCCCCATTCCTTTGTCTTCACCGCCCCCTCCCCCCCACCCCCCGCCACCTGTAAGGAGCTCAAGCAGCCTACTGTGGCCACCCAGTGTCCATTCCATGCTCCCCTCTCCAGGACACCCAAGCACGATCCCACCTCCATGCCTTAGCAATTCCCCCTGCTAGGAATGCCCCCCTTTTGCTTCCTCCCCACCCCACCCCCACCCCAAAACGGTGCCCATCCCTGGAGGCTCACTGCAAATTGTCTTCTGTCCTCTTACTGCCAAAGTGCCTTCAGACATCATCTGACCCCACCCCTCATTTGACCCACGGGCAAACTGAGGTTAGGAGGGAAGCACTTCGCTTCCAATTCACAGTCCAGAGCAAGACCAGGGCTAGGGCTCCGGGCTGCCCGTGTGGGCTCATTCCAGCCCAGGAATGGCTTCTCCTCCAAGAAGTCTTTGTCACCCTGAACCCAATTCAGGGACCTCCCTGCATCCTAGCTGCTCCCTACACCTTGCCAGGGGCAGTGAGTTCACATCCCCTACCCCGCCTGTTGGATCGCTGAGGGCTGTGAGCCCTGTATCATCCTGTGTCCCTGCACACAACGGTGCTGCTTAAAGGTCTGCTTGGCTGGTTGAAATAAGCTGACCCCGGGCCACCAACCCAAACAATGGCGTGACAATGGCTGTCACATCCAGAACTTGCAGCACTCACAGCACCAGCCTCTGCCTCCCTGAGGGCTTGCAACAGCCTCCGGACGGGGGCAGGGAGCAGGCAGCCCCACTTTACAGATGGGGAAGCTGAGGCCAGGCAGGACTCGAACCCAGGCTGTTCCTGGGGCAGGACAGGCAGAGAATTAGATGGCCCCTGGGGGCGATGTCCCCACTGCCTCCATCATCCCGGGGCTTTCAAGGACATATCAGCATCGCCCAGGACCGGGTTCGAATGCAGAGTTCAAGACCCAGCCCAGGGCCTGGGGTCCCGCCCTTGAGCTGTGGGGCCGGGAAGCTGTATCTTAGCACCTCTCAGCAAAGCTCCGGGGGAAGGACACCAAGGTGGACTCTTGGGCACAGTGCAAGCTTTGACTGGATGAATCTGGATTCAAGTCCTGGTGACCCCTGGCTGTGAGACCTCAGACAAGTCACGCCTGGCCTCCATTTTTCTCATCTGGAAAATGGGAGAATAACTGTCCATCTCTCCCTGGGTTGTTTTGAGGAGCCCATGGGCCAGTGTGTATTCAACTCTGAACACAGGCCCGGCCCCGCCGGCCCTGCTGGTCTCCTGCCATGGATGTGGACACCCCGAAGCTCTGTGGTGGGGGTCTGCTGGCCCTAAAGCCTGGCTCACATCCTGCTGCCTCATCACCCGGCATTCAGGTACCTCTACCCTGTGTGTCACAGGAACTGGGAGGCAATGCGCTAGGCCCCAAATGGGTCCCGTCCCCATTACCCGGCCTGGGTCCTTAACCATCCCTGTCCACTTCTCTCCCCTCCTCCGCTCCCTGCAGAGGCGTGTCAGCCCGGGCCTCTGTCCACGGTGCCGTGTAAAGCAGCGCCACCACCTGTCCTTCCCCAAGGCCTAGAGTTCCCTCATTAAAGCTGCCCCCGTGTGCCCCATTCTTGCTCTCTCCTAGCGCTGCCTTGTAAATGGCGTAAACCACAGGGTCCTCAGCAACTGCGACCTGAGAAAGGCTTCTTGGTTTGGGAACCGCTCTGGCTTCCCAGCCATAGGCCCTTGGAAGGGTGCTTAATCCCCAGCCTCAGTTGTCCCACCTGTCAGATGGGTACAAGGGATAGTGATAGCAGCAATTCCTTGTAGCCGCCCCCAGAGCCGGCATGGTGGTGTGAAGGTGACGGGGCTTTGTGGAACATTTGCCATCTGCGAGGGTCTGGGCTTCCTCCCTGGGGTGTGTGTATGTGTGACCCCGTATCAGTCTCTTGAGTGGGTTTCCCCTCGGCCGGGAGAGGACAGGACATTTGCAATGCAAAGGAAAAGGCAAAATCCAGCCCCACTGTCCTGGGGTCTCCCAAGACCCCTCCTGCTCACTCTCTTGAGGTCTGTCTTTTCAGTCTCTGGGTGAGGAGGTATCTCCAGGGAGCACAGGGGCTGAACCCACCAGCTCTCAGTGACCCCCCGGTTCTGGCAGGGAGGAAGCCAGGACCAGGGCTCAGTCCACGGCTGGGGCAGGTTCCCCCGGAAGAACCTGATGCTGAAGCAGGGAACCTTATACCCCCTGAGGGAGGAGCTATACCCCCAGAGCCCAGTACAGGGCCGGGCACACAGCAGGTGCTCAGTAAGTGCTCACGGCTCAGACAAATGAATAAACAGACCCAGCCTTCCAGACGCCCCTGCTCCCACCCCCGCCAAGGCCAGGCAGGGGTGAAAGGCCCAGCTTAATTTTATTTAATTTTACAAAAGCCTGTGGACATGGCTTGGGGTGGGCGAGTCCCTGCTGTGTGCCCAGCCTGATCAGGCAGGTGTGGTTACCATTACCACCTCCCATTTACCAGATGGGGACACTGAGGCCAGGGGCAACAGGCTTGTCTAGGGTCCCCCAGCCAGAGACTGGGCTGGTTACAGCCCCACTGTCCTTTCTCCCTGGCCCACAAGGAAGGGTTGAAGAAATGGGCTCTGTGGATTCTAGAAAATTCTAGCACTGTGCTAGGCAATCAGAAGCCACATGTGGCTATTTAAATTTAAATTCGCTAAAATTAAACAAGAGTATCAATTCAGTTTCTTCATCACACCAGCCATATTTCAAGTGCTCAATGGCCACACGTGGCCAGTGCCTGCCATGTTGGACAGCAAGGAATTGGAACGTTTCCATCACCACAGAAAGTCCTTACTAGGCAGTGATGGTCTGGAACATTCTTTTCAATCACGATGGAAAGATCTCTGGTGTTTCCACATTGCCTTAAAATTGGAAATTTGATTTAGGTTTGGAAATTTCAGGAGCTGATTTCATGGAATTTTTGTTTTAGTACATTTCATTATAAAAGACTCCCCCCACTTTACCTCCCACCAGTGAGGAAGTTACAGGGAAGGGCTCTATAAAAATGGGAACCTGATACTAAGGTGGCTCACAAAGTAGTGAGCTCTCTGTCATGGGGGGCATTCAAGAAGGAGTCAAGGGATGATGGCCAGGCCCCTATTGGACGAAAGATGAGCCCAAGCAGCCTCCAAGTTCCCTTTGATGCCAAGACCCTCTAACTTATGGAAGAAGTCTGCAGGTAAACCCTCTGGTCACATTTCTAAAGTTCTATCATCTTGGGCAAGTGCCTCTTCCTCTCTAGGCCTCAGTTTCCCCATATGTAAAGCAGCAGTGGCAGAGTGGACAGTGGTTAGGAGCAGGCATGAACCCAAGGCGGGTGGACCAGGGCCTGAACATTCCTGGCTGTGTGATGGTCACCCGCTCTGGGCCTCAGTGTATAAAACGGGAACAATAAAGGCATCTACCGTAAAGTGACGGTCAAGAACATGATGCTAGTTCATTAGCATCAGATCAGATGAAACATCGAGTTTTCTGCTGAAAAATCAGGCTTAACTATTAGTTCAGGGGTCCCAAAGGTGACCCCTGACAGTGCATCCTTCTCAAATCAAGTGGGGGATTTGTCAGCAATAGGGTATCCTCATTAATGAGTGCAGAGCTTTGGGGGCAAAATGAAAATAAAAAGACCTATCTGGCACCCCAGAGTCCCCTTCTGAATTCAGCGGTTCCCCAACAGCTCCCCACCCCACATCCATCTTTTCCTTATGAGAAAACACACACACACATACACACACACACTCCTGGGGGGTCTCGTCACCCCTGTTTATAGATAGAAGAGGTGAGGCCGAGCCAGGAGAATTTGCCTCCGCAGCCTCTGGCCAGTGGCCTCAGGTACCCGCCCCAGCACCTTTCCCTGGGCCTCAATTTCCCCATCTGGAACACCACGGGTTT